AGAGAGAGAGAGAGAGAGAGGTGCAAATAGGGGGTACATAACGGTGGGCACAGCAATGACATCACGACATCCTCTTGTAGGTTACTCTCAGACAACAGCTGCCTAACTGTTATACGCTGTACGTTATTTTTCTGTCAGGAAAGGTGGGCGGTTCGGACCACAACAAGCATGGCGGAGGGTCCAATTACATCTGCGTGCCGACCTTGAACGTGACGTGGGACAAGTACGTTGATGGGCCGAACAGTAAAACCTTCCTGTACGGAGCGGAGTTTGAGAACCCCGGGACTGGCTTCTTCTCCACCGAAAATGCGCAGGCTATAGAGTCGGTAAGGCTGCCAGTATACTCTCAAAGCTGAGGCCGATTGGAAACACTGGAAAGACTACATGTGATCTTTATTTCTGTACCGTTTCCTAGCAGCCGGCCCAATCAAATCTTACATAATCTATACATAAATCTAACTGACATTCATACATAGTTGGGACTTTGTATGTTTTTAACCGTTCCGATATTCCAGCTTCAAGACTACGACGTGCCGTGTGCAGTTTGCCGCGTCCCGACCCATCGATCTGTCCTGACAATCCCGGCCTGGACCAGCTGCCCTAGCGGCTGGACACGGCAGTACAGGGGCTATCTCATGACGGGCCACGAGAGCCACAAGGTGAGAACTCTTGGCAAGAGATTAGAGACCAGCAGGAACAAAGTAGTTATATATAGGAGAAACGAAGTAAATGCCACTGTTGATGTCTTCTCTGTTTTTTTTACCTTTGGAGATTTTGGTGTGTCTGTGTTTCCAAATTTCTGGAGACACTGACAGGAAGGTAAGGCATGGGTCCCATGGCCCAGAAAAAGTCGCCGTCCTCAATTTGAACGATAGGTTAGGCCACGTTATCTTATTTATTTGGTTTCCGTACATTTGCAAGAAAGATCTTAGCAAAAGGACACCATCATGAAAACAGATGAAAACGGACACCGTGTGACACAGGAAAACCTAAACACATGACTATATATATATATATTCACTCCCTAAAACTGTGTGTACCAAGGTATAGACTACAAATTGTTTTTATGTAGATCTTCTAGTTCAAGCGGAGGTATGTGATCTTCGATTTCTTCTTTCCACTACAGGGTCGGAACAAGTTTGAGTGTGTTGACAGCGCTCCGGATATATTCAAGGGGACGTACGAAAACAAGAACGGCGCGCTGTTCTATCTGGTGGAGGCGGTCTGCGGTTCCCTTCCGTGCGGCCCGTACATCGCCAATCGCCAGATAACTTGCGTCGTTTGTTCGATTTAGAACGAGGAAAATTGAGCTGTCGTTATGAAACTGTACACGAGATACATTTGACGCCAGCCACTTATCGCTAGATACTTTCGACGCAATCCGGCAAATATAACCCGTGTTGTTTGTTATAGAAGCTAGTACTTACGGAAACTGTACACTAGATTATGTAGTACGTAGATATGCTTAACGCAGGCCAGTTGCTCATAAGTGTGAGCTTTTCGGCACGATGTGCTAACGATAAACTGCCATTTCAATGTATTTCAAGCTTAAGACTTGGATAGTATTGCCGCATGTTGTGAAAAAATGAACGCGGATGGATACAATGTAAAATATTTACTATGATGCTGTAATGTAATATTGAAGAGGTCAACTGAAGTTGGGAGTCAGGCTAGATCATGAAGTGACGGGCGGACGGACAGATGTGACCTATCTTTTAATTTCCGAGACTATATACACTATTCTGACCATGTTCATTTATGTCTGCGTGTGTTTTATCGCATCATCGGAGCTCACGTAGTGTCTTCGTTATACATGTTCCTGCTAATTATAATGATAATGATATAATGATATGAATCTTTATTGCATGTTCTTGCCCAGATGGGCTAAATGCACAAGAGGTCATGCAGTATGCTACAGTTTGGTAGATGGCACTGGCACACCACTAACAGGTGGACATGAGGTCGAATTGCAAGGAATTTAAAACAGTGCTAATTATTCTAACAAAGAAATCAAAATACACGGCCTTCTGTGGGGTGGGAAGCCCATCCACCTTTGAACCGAAGCGTGTTCAAACACACTCTCGATAGTTGATATAATGGGGGCAAGGCCGGCGTCAAAAGCTTCAAAAGCTAGCTGTAAAGGTCAGGGCAAAGTACGGAGTCATATATGTAGTACGGCAGGTAAAGGCGGATATTATTTTGCCTCATCTAAGAAACTTTAATCTGTTGGGAACATCACAGACTATATACTACAGTCGACTAGTCGATCGAATCCATCTGATATTCAGGGGAGTAAAAAAGATAACGAGTGGTTGATACGATGGAAAAAATGAAGACCGGAAAGTCCCCCTGCACGCAAATGGACCAGTCCTGTTAGTCCTGTTTTTTCCGGACACCTGTTCTGGCCCACAGGCAACATGAGCGCGTTCTTGTACAGTAGCCTGCTGGCCGTGACGGTAGGTTTCTACTTGGTTTCTACTTGCCTATTAAGGTCCGGTCTTATTCGTCACAGGATAGATTTGCTCTATAAGAAAGTAATCAACTCAATTGCGCAATAATTTTGACGGATACATTGTATGACTATGGGGACTTGGTAAACATGTACTCTAATATCTACAATAGTCTTTTTATATGGAACAGGAGCTATATATTTAAGTAGGGTAGTAGTTTGTATCTGGGATAATACAATCTATTTGTTTAGAGCGTACGTATTGGCCTCTCTCGCTACCCCACGTCTGTCGCCCTCTCCGCCCCTCCCTCTCTGTGCAGAAACATGTACAGTATATGTGCCAGGTCGGCTAAATTCTGATATTTTTGCCGAATTCAACCATCCACAGCCCCTTAGGAAGGCCCGGTGGAGGATATCGTTAAGTCAGCGTTGAACGATTAGTCCGTCAAAATACCGGGCAGGTCGCGACCTCAGTAGGATACGCATGAATGGCGACAATTACACAGGTCAGCCATCAACGTGTGATTGGCTTTGTGCCGAGTCCAGACCATGCTAACTTTATGTATCTATTGCTGACAATATATATCCTATAATATGTACAGAATAGCAACGAGAAAAATGAAATCGCTGTCCGGTTTGTCTGGTACGCTGAAGAATGGACGTGCGGTGAATGCAAACACACACACGCAACCACCCACCCACCTAAACTCACACCCACTCACTCACTCACACTGAATATATAATTCTTGTTTTATTAATCTGGACTTTATTTGACCATCCGGTTTCTGTACAGATCTTCTTGGGAGAGTGTTGCCATGCAGCGTTGCTAGGCAACCCACAGGTGATTGACATGACGTACACCTTCGACGACACCACAGTGAACTGGCCTACACGTGAACCTTTTCGTCTCAAAGATACATTCCGAGGCTACCATGAGAAAGGCTACTATTACGAAGGCAGTTCCTATGAGGGATTCGAACATAGCGGTACCCACGTGGACGCGCCTTCGCACTTCTGTAAGGACAAGTGGCGAAGTGAGTGATCAAACTTCTACACGACGTCATCGAAATCTAAATAAGTATTCTGTTTATTCTTGTTTCTTTCACTATTGAAGAACGCTGCTTACTATGTGAAATTGTTCAGGTAAATCTCTGTACCGAAACCTCTACCTGTACCTTTTAATCTCAAGCAGATCTTTCTGTGGCAAAGTCATAACCAAACAGCAAGGCAAAATGTAACATGTAAAATCTAAAAATATTTAATAAAAGTTGGTCCCGATGATTGGACTGGCTGTTGGAAAACATAGAAGAAGGTCGCAATCTTCCCCTTCTGTCTGGGAGTATCCGATGTTACGTTTAGGTACGCAGCGCTACGCTGAAAGATACAATGCTATCTCCCGTCTTCCAGTGGACGCTGTTCCACTAGAACGCCTGATGGGCCCGGCTGTGGTTGTGGACGTGTCCAACAAGACCGATAACAACGCGGACTACGCAGTAACGGCTCAGGACTTCCAGGACTGGGAGGTCAGCAACGGCAGAATCCCCGACGGATCCATCGTGTTAGGTGGGTCGTTACGTAATACAAAATAAATCAGACAACTACATAACCTTTCTAGTTAAACGCTTCAACATCCGATAACAGTCATCTTTCATCAGTGGCTGAGCTAAGGAGCCTCTGAAAACCTGTACATAGATGATACAAATAGCGGAAGTTATCTAAAATGTCTAACACTAGATAGAATTTGTTGTTTATAAGTTGTTGGAGGAAGAAATCACTAAATTTAAATGGAAACGTTTTGCTTGCATCTTTGTCAGTTCGAACCGGCTGGGGCCAGTACTGGTCAGACAAACGAAAATTCCTTGGAACAGACACCACCGACACGTCCCTGCTGCACTTCCCCGGTATAGACCCAGAGGGCGCTCGTTGGCTGGTACAGAACAGAGGGATGCACGCTGTTGGAATTGACACCGGATCTCTCAGTCCTGGACAATCCCATGTGAGTTCGACGCATTTCTCTTTACTCTGGAATGAAAAGTGCTGAATACAAATGATGATTACAACATTTACAGTCATAAGATACAAAACGTACCAAATACGACAGTATTTGCATGATTATTTGTGAAAACCTATTCATCTTTACTACTGGCTACAAAATCAGTCATTTGTGCTGTTTCTGCCTTATCATTAGGTCAGGGGTTTAGTTTTTTTTAATTTGATGCAGGGACCATGCATGCATTGCAATATACGTTTTTATACCTTCCTAGACCTTCAGTGCGCATCAGGTATTGTGCGAAGCTGACATCATCGGATTGGAGTGTGTCGCCAACATAGACAAACTACCGACCACAGGAGCCACTGTGTACGCTCTGCCGCTCAAGATAGGGGAGGGGAGCGGGGGCCCGGCCAGGGTCATAGCCATCATCAACAACCCTGCGAGTGGCAGCGGTAAAGACGAACTGTAGCTGTGCATATCATTAATTATTGATATGATATACGGCCACCGCTCAAGGGACAGAGCAAAATCGGTCGGTCGGACAGGTGGTCTGAATAGACAGGTTACCACAAGACGGCTACTTTTGTCTTAAACATTTGTTTATTGAAAAAAATGTGCCAACCCAAGTGTAGAAAATATGGTTTATTGTTATATACACACGACGCCACAATGTCTAAGTACATATAGTTTGTGTACATGTGGACGGTAGAGTACCACTATTGTACACTGTCATCCAACCAATAACAGTGGTCTTCTGTATAAAGACACTGATGTTCTCATGACGTGAGGTGATGAAGACGATGTTTTAATAACTAAAGTACTGGATAGTTGTCCTGAAATATAATTATTTCTAAACGACAGTTTTCACAATCTACTTGGATCTAACGTAATTAACAACGTTAATTATATTTTAATCATAACATCAAGGGTGACACAAATCTCACTTTAGTCGCTCATCGGTCACTCAGCTATCGTCGTCTAGTGAGAAAACGGCCCAGAAGAAGGCTAACTGACGACAGATGTGCGTGTGTAGTTCAAGGTCACCCCAGCATAATCACCAGCAGTCGTGTTGTTCTGGGAGTTTTCACACCGTGATATTTTCACTCGCCAGCCTTATGTTGGACGCCTGTCGGGTGAAAATATCTCGGTGTCAAAACGCCTAGAACAGAACAACTGCTGATGATTAAGTTCCTCTGCTTCTACCCTTGCTGAATAACGTATTCTGTTTCCACTCTTGACAAGTAAACATCGATAGCGGGCCACTCGGCAAGACTAACGTGTACTCACCAGTCAGGATATCACAGCTAAGGAAACAAGAAATCGAAGATTTCACACCACCGTGAAGTATTAACTGTTGTTATAAATTTCTGGTTTTATTCCTGTGTATTTTTCACCGTCAATCACATACAATCCCAGAGTTCCTCCACCACCCAACCTTTGGGGAGACCATTTTGACATCGAACGAATTCTTCCTGCCAGTCTGCGGTTACAACATTCCCCCTCACTCCCGCGGTGACTTAACTGTACTCAAATGCATATGAACACAGAGAGCAAACAAACAAAGAAACAAACAAACAAACAAACAAACAGACAGACAAACACACAGAAAACAACCTGCTAAATTGGTATTGCACAGCCACATCCAGATTAAAACTACATATTCTTGAGAAACACAAAATCTGAAAAGTAGAACACATTAATACGTAGCATCCATGACCATTGATATTTCTTGCTAGCATGCTTAAGTTCATTTTCTACCATTATGAACACATCTTTATGCAGCCTTATGTTACTTTTTGGGTTGGTACTGGGAGTAAAACGCGAATCTTCAGTACTGTCCTGTAGTCCCGAATCATCTCGCAAGTCGACAGAGTCACTGTAGTTTTGTACTCAATTAACAGGTGATGCCACTGTTCTCCCACTTCTGATCGCTCAAAGACGTGCCCAGTGGTCGTGCCAGCTAGTGGAAAGGGCGCCCTAGGGCATTTTGTTTCAAGAGAGACAACCACACTGACAAGAACTCGGGTACTTCATAAAGGACATTTGTTAATCAATCAATTTTTATTTAATCAATAACTATTATCAATACTCAATATATTTGGCATTCACCCAACCGCTCCCATGGCAGTGCACCTAATCGATTTACTCAATCAAAACTGATTGAAATAACGTATGTTTATTCATATCCTTAATTCATTTTTGTATTACGCAATGTCCTATTCGGTTGTCTAACCTTCATCGACACAAGAGGACTGACTGTAGGGTGTCCCAATCCTCATGAGGTGTGTTGGCCAGTAATGGTTCGGTCACGTACGTCGTACGTTCGTCGCACGATCACAAACAGATACCCGTGCATCTGTCCAAACATAACAAAACAAAAATTAATCTGTCCGCCACAAAATCGTACGACGACCCACACAGATGCGTTCTCGCCGCAAGCTTCTAGGGGCGCCGAGCTGGCAGGTTTCTAGACGCCAAATGTAGTCAGGCTAGGGACAGTTACTGTATGTACTTGAGAACTAGTGACTACTATGACCGTTTTGGGCACCTGTTGCCATTGGGTCCTCGTGCAAATATGTGTTTGAGTAATTATAGCGGCCGAGGCGGACTGACTGTGTACAGGCGACGTGGCCAAAAATGGGGTGGGCACTTGTTTTATGTTATGGATGACATCCTTTGAGCACCCCAAAAGTGATGCGAGCGTGAGCGAAAACTAGTTGGGCAAAAAAAGTTGCCTTCGTCATGAAACGGTCAGGTAATTGAAATACATTTTGTAAATGACTGAACACACGGAGCATCATCATGATATACCAGACAATGACTTCTTTATTGTTGTTATTTCACGTTGTTTTTTTTATCTTTGAAATGATTTGGTGGTGCAAGCATGTAGGTATCGAGACCTTCTTCCCCTCTGGCATCTTTTTCTTTTCCGTTCGACCTCTGTAATCCTTTGATGAGCACCCCAAAAGAAACTGCATGGTCTCCTTTTTTGTCGGTGGAAACGGACAAAATGGATATGCGTGCGCGGATGTCATCCACATTTTAGTCTGTGCTGCCTGCACCTCTATACCCCAGTGCTCGTGCAGATATGTATTGTGTAATTATAGCGGGGAGGAGGGTCATCTCAGGGCAGACAACGTGGCACAGATTGGAAAGGCACTTTGCTGCCAAAACACGGTACTACTATGTACATATTTGGACACAGACAGATTGTAGATGTGTCAAACCAAATACGCGTCCCGCGCCATGATTATATAAAGATTTATAATCCTACAGTCTGTGTCTGGTGACCGTTGGTGACCCTGAAACCACCATTAAGTGTGAGCGTCGACAATTATGTGTCCACGCGGGTTGTATGGTTTGATAAATAGGTATATAAACACCATTAAATAAATTGGCATAACTAGTATCAAACAAGTAATTCAAATGTAACGAGAATGGATTTCTTAATACAGATTTGACAAATATTTCGAAACTTCATTCTAGTTTCATTGATCTGCGAATCATTTTATTCAAATGGTATACTTGGCGAGAATAAACTAAATTAAATCACATTGATAGATAAGCCAGGGTTGCCAGGCCCCGTTCTTGTATCAAAAGTATGTACCAATTGTAAAGGGGAGGGATTCTAATGTTCCATGCAAACGCACATACCTTTGATAATAGTTTATCTGACCAAAAACCTGCGCAACATGAGGTTTAAATTGACAGATAAAGATCACGACGATTAAAGCTGCACTGGTGTGTATTTCACTTTAGTGTAGCGCCTTGCACAGAAGCGTAATGGTTCACGAAACGTACGGCAGGTCATTTTTCCAGTGGAACGTTCTGTCGCAATAGGGGTGCCCTATTAAACACAGGTCTGAGGAGAGAGTTTAGTATTTAAAATACACAACTTATGACTAAAACAATCTACAACTGTTTTTCTGCCCCCAACTTGCTCCAAAGCACCTGTTTAAAAAAAAAATCAAAACTGCATTTTTTAACACGCTCGTCAACCCCAAAAGAAGCGTCGAATTCAAACAGATTTTTCACTCCTCTTTTGTTGGAGCGTACGGACTGGAACAAACTTTGTGAGCTTGTCATTATCAACATAACAGCTTTGTCCATTCCTGGAGGCACATGCACCCATGCATAACGCCACAACGATGATTTTTTTCAAACTAGTTCGGAATTAGAGGTAGGTTGGAATTAGGGCTCCCACTGTTAGAATTCTAAGATTTCTAACGTTGCAGTACTAAAATTAAACTTGGCCCCGCCCACATTCCGTTTTTCAGTATATATTGAAGTACGTGACGGTAGAGATGGGATAATTCTGGGCGGACTCCAAACAGTCAACCGGCGAAGTCATCAACCTAACCGAAGAAATCTACCCCGACATGGTAAGGCATCTGCAACCATCTTCTTAGCATTCTATCATTACTTTCCTCTGCTTCTTTCGTGAATCACCAGTTGACATTTACAATGAGTCATGTGCACATTTAATTTAAAAGTGTATTATACAGTAATAACTACTAGACTGAATTGCTGAATTGAAAAGAAAGAAAACCAACAACTGTGGTATAACTATGGTATTAGCGTCGCGTAGGTAGGAAGTAGGAAAATTACTCCAGTTTCGTTAGTTTAACTTACTAAGGTGTGGTCATTGCAAACAGAGCTCTGGGGGTTACATTTTCGGAACGATTCTGTTGTGAACAGAAGTAACTTTCTTGCAAGACCTTCTATACTGAAAAGTTGGTCAGCAACGCTAAACGGAAGATATCTTTTCTCCATTAAAGATTCTCCATTAAAGAGGCGGGATTCTCGTCTGATTATGATGCACAAAATCACTAACGGACTTGTAGCCATTCCACCCACTCGTCTGACCGAAGGATCTTAAATTGTCAGAACAAGCATGGACCAGTTGGCAGCGTCCACTGAGTCCTTTTTCAGCTAGTGCCAAATGAGCGAACTAAAAAGGTTTCAGAAGGCATCTTGTTACTATGTTGGCAGAGAAAAGTATGTTCTAAGGTCATGTTCATCACACAAGTTCATCCAAACAAAATTTTTCGGAGCAGACCGCCGTGGTCAGATGTCACAAGCTTGCTCTTGGAACACGCGATAGGGTTAAACCGTGCGACCCAGATTTATTTATGGACCTGTGCACGTGTCCACTTTACACCTGTTTTTTTTTGGCGCCAACCATATTCATAAATGTTGGAGGCTTGGAAAACAGACATCATTAAAATCTTTACCATGGGCGCTCAAGCACTTAGTCGTAAACTATATTCTATGTAGGTATTTTATACATCCATTCTGCCCTTGATTTTATTAGTTTGCACCGTATATTATATGCAATGTATTACACTGTTCTTTCGATACCTGATGTAAATGTTTTCTTTCAGTGTGCCCTTGCTTTGAAAACGTACTTTACTATCTAAAATGTTTCGTCTCTCTCTTTGCACTATCGACACTACAGGGAATATCATTCTGCCTTTAGCCTGTGATATTATAGTACACCATTTAACCCATGTGGGTAAGAACATGCAGATAAAGATGACGATCCTCCATGTATTTCCGCAGCCTGTCCCAGCGACTCACGAGCTGCACGTCTCCGGCTCCATCAACGGCCGGGAGTTTGACCTGGCCGGGCGGGGCACAGGCAACGCAAAGG